CCCCCCACCCGCCACCACTTCCACAAAATCCCCTCCCCACCTTAAATTTTTCCTCAAAATCATTTCACCAAGAACAACAAAAGTGACGCAACCCTCGGTTTTTGGTCAAAATAAAATAAAAAATGAAAAAAAAACTTGGAAAAATCATTTAAAAAAACCGCAAGCCCTCACCAATTTATTTATTTGCAATATTTTTTTTCCGGGGAGCAATAATTCAGACAATGATTTACCGATATTTTCCATCGTAGAATATTCTCACATGACCACGAGATTCTCTCGGTACTCGTGCAATTGTAAAATGTTACATAACCAGAGACCAATGCCCGGCACTTGAGTTGCGGGGCACAATGGGTGGGAAAACACGAAAAGAGTTGGTGGTGAATGATAATCGGTTCATTGGAGTGTTGAGGGTCGATGGCGACGGAGAAATGAATGATTTGTGTTACCTGATCCTTCTTTTTTTCCATTGACCATCGGAATTTTCACAGCACCATCCTCGCCGTTCGCCTCGACTTGTGACCCAAGAGCCATGTCCCCAATCGTGTGAATTTAAACGTTTGAATAGGGGGATTTATCACAGTGTCTTATTGACAAAACTCGGTTCAACTTGCACTCACTGACTCTATTATTGCAGGGGGATTTTACAATTTGATAATCAAATTGGGGGGAATTGGATTTTTTTATCGGAATTATCGGAGTAATTGGAGGTTCGTGAGGACGGCCAGAGCCCTCCAAGTGCCGCACTTTATTCCCGCACGTGCGTTTACGGAGAGTAAAACTTTCGCGATCACCAAAGGGCTAGGGAATTTCTGGCGGAGAGGGTGATTGCGATTGGCGTGGTCTGGGGGGATTATCGAACGGTGGGGCAGGGGTGCGCATGCGCGAACGGGAAGGCAGTATTAGATTTTTTTTTGATTATTTTTCTCACTCGGATTTCAGCCAATCAGAGCGCCGCGTTTGAGGCTGTCAGTTTTATTTCGGAAATTTCTAAAAAAAATTCGACGGAAATTCACTGGTAGCTTTTCAAATGTTTCTCATCTTTCAACGCATTTCACGTTGTGTCAAATTTTGCAGGTTTAAAATTTTTCTGCAAAATTTGACACAATCGTTTCTAGGTAACGAAGTTATCGGAAAATATCCGATAATTTAAGTACTAGTGGTATTACTACTGAGAATTTTTTGTTGTTGAAAGGGTTTGCGGTTTTTTGAGAGGATCAAGCTACTGAAGCAGTTTTTACGATTGAATTTGACGTCAATGTGAATTTTTTTATTTTGCTTCATTTTTTAGATATTTTTTTTATCGGGAAGGTTTTGCAATCTTTTGAATATTTTCGAACGATTGATGTAGTTTTTACGATGAAATTTGAAGTCAATGTGAATTTTTTAATTTTTCTTCATTTTTTATATATTTTTTTTCAATTGGAAGGGTTTCACGGTTTTTAGGGAAATTTTCTTTCAATTCAAAAAGAATTTCGACCTTTTCAAAACCTGTCTAATGCATTTCGTGTTTGGAAATTCCCCTAGAATTCCGAATAATCTAGCCAATAGGAGAAAATAGTTATTTTTGACACAGCTGCTACGTTCACGTCGTGCCGAAATAGCTATTTTCGTCACAAGGCCGAAAAGAACTTTTCTGACGATTGTGAGGGTTGCAGACCGAGTCGAAGTTGAGGAATGCAATCACACGAGTCAGAAAAGTTTTTTTCGGCCGAGTGATGAACATAATTTTTCTTTACAATGTCCGAAAGCGGCATTTGACGGACACAAAGTGTAACAAGTGTATTACTTGTAACGGAAGATAGCACACAGTTCAGCCAATCGCTGAACGTAACATCACTATTAAAAAGTATTGTTCGATACATGTGAGACGGGAATTTTCCCGGGCGTGAAATTGGCGGCCCCAGGCGAAGCCGAGGGCTGCCAATTATACGAGCTGTATCGAAATGTACTATTTTGTCACAAGGCCTGAAAAGTATTTTTGACGAATATGACTTTACAGCCGAATCTGACTACAAATCGAGCCGAAGGCCAGGATTATAATCACATGAGTATGAAAATACTTTTTTGGCCGTGTGACAAAATATTTTTCATCATGAACGAAAAAAAATTAAATTTAAAACAAAAAAAATCTTTCCAAAGAAACACGCCCAGATAATTTGAAAAAAAACACGTCAAGAGAAGCGCTATAATTTTCCGATAATTAAATTTGTATTTTCCGCCAGTTAAAATTCCCTAGGTAATCCCCCACCCCTCGACGAAATTCCGAACCGAGTTTCTAACCTCTAACTCTGTTCTTAGAACTCTAGTTCTTAGAATTTTTCGGAGTGAAAAGGGTGAAAAGTGAGTAAAATTGAAAGCTCGTTTTCCATCGCTCTTGGTTTCAATTCTTGACAAAAACAATTTCTCGCGATTATCGACGATTTTCCGAGGACTTCGTGGTTCACAAGGTGTATTTTAAATCTCAAAATTGATTGGCTTATAGGAGCCGAGAGGTTATAAGTGAAAATGTCAGAAGGAACTGATAAACCTCAAGTGGAATTTCGCCTGGGGCCCGATCCAAACGTTACTTACCCAATTCGAGTACAATATTGTGGAAATTGCTCCCTTCCCATCGAGGTAAATCATCGCACAATTATTATATTTTTTTATCGCACAATTACCAATGAAAAATTACCAGGTCCTAATACAATTTTCCAAATGCATTTCTGCCTTAAAATTTTCACAGTAGAAAATGATAGAACAGAAAATTGAAAGGTTTTTTCTTTTTTTCGTCACGAAAAATCATTTTATTAATGTCACCAATAGTCTCCAGAATTCTAACTAGTCTCCAATTATTAGAAAATTCTCACAGGAATTCACATTCTTCGAGAAGGATTTTGATTTTTCCCAGCAAATAATAATTTACAAGAATGAGAAGAATAAATTGGATTGCTCTTGAAAATGCAATTCGAAAAGATTCAAATATTTTTTTTCAATTGTTCTTGTGGGTCTCTTTGATTATTGAAGGAAATATTTTTTTTCTTTTAGTAAAAAAAAATTGGAAAACAGTTGATACCGTAAATTATCATAAATCCACTAGTTAAGAATCATCTGAATACATTTCTCCCTTTTTTTCATTTTGTTTGGGGTTTGTAAAACAAAACAAGTGAAAAATTGCTCTTATATTGTCTATAGTATAGTTATTTTTGCTAATAAACTAGCAATATGTTTGCGAATGGTTATTTTCCACACCATTTCCTTCAATCATGGATAATCCATTGTTTATTTCATTTTATTAGATTGAATAAAATTTCTTTTTAACTAATTTTGGCTGATTTTCAACGTAGTTGAATGTTATCATCATCATTCTTATTATCCCTTTCTTCTAGACAACCGATTGTCTTTTTTACGGTTCTATCTCTCCCCTCAGCCCTTCGATAAAATGTTAATAGAAAAATTTTATTTATACATACTTGAAGGAATTTGAAACATCACATTTGAAGAAACCATCAGAAAACGCACTTTCAGAGAAATTCATGAAAAATTCTAAATTTTCAACAATCATCATAAAAATCAAATCAACCAATATTGCTATCGTATTCATCTTTCAACTTCGACTTAATGGCATTAAAACAAACATTTTAAGCTATGATTAAATTCATTTGAAGCATGATATTCAAAGATATCCCCGGAATTCTGATTTTCAAAAAATACAAAATTTTTGCAAATTTTCAGATAAATCAAAACAACGATTATTGCTATCGCCTTCATCTTCGAACTCGGTCAAAAGGACATCCAAACTAATTTTTTATGCCATCATTCATTCAATTCAGAACATTTTTTTAGTTATCGTGGGACAACTGATGATCGAAAAAATTCGAAACTTAAAAGAAATAATACAAAAACAAAAAAAATTTAAATCAATTTTTTTTCGCAAAAATCAATAAAAAATTGTTGACAATTTCTTCACATCGGAATATATATCTGCCTATTCTAAATAGTAATTCCATTTTTTATGATCTCCTCAGTAATTTTTTGATTTTTCAAACCAAAAAAATTATTACAAACTTTAACAATCCATTAATTGATGAAAAAAAAACGTGAAAAAATCCCATTCTCTAGGAAATTGAAAAATTTAATTTAAAAAAAACCAATCTTTTACTGTCTGCCATGATTTCGCTTCCAGTACTGCGAGTACTACCCAGAGTACGAAAAATGCAAGCAATGGCTGGAGCGAAATCTCCCCAACGAGTTTGAGAAGGTAAAACTAGTCGAAGATGGAAATACCGAGTCTGGCGGTGGTGAGGACGAGAAGAAGCGTCAGAAGAGGGGTGGCAAGGGTATGCTAAAAGCCAAGAAGAAGGAGGATGTGCCTAAATTAGTGACAGTCTCCAGAGCCCCGCGGGGGAAGAAAAAATCGGTGACTGTAGTCACTGGACTCAGTACATTCGGTGAGTCTTCCTCTCCAGAATCTCCAATAAAACCTATCCTACAATGCCACGTCATTTTATCCTGAGAATAGTTCCTCAAGAATTTTATCTCAGTAAAAATGATCCTAAAAATAACATCTTGGGCATTCAGTCTCATTTCATATTTTACGAATAAAATTGATGAGGATATGAAATAACGTAAAAAATACAATTTGCAACATTTATGAAGTCTGTACTTGACGGATGGTGAGTTATCATTGTAAAAAATATAAAGACAACAAAAAAAATCGACAGAGAAAAAATATTGCAAAAGAATAGGCACAAATTTTTCATTTGAGGATATCCAAGTACTTTGGGGATTTTTTCTCCAGTGAAATGCTCCTCTGCTTTTGTAGTCGAACATCAGAGTTTTCATTTGAGTCCCATTTGACCCCAAGTTTCCGGATATTTTACGATGATTTTATTATTTAAACTTTGCAGGACTGAATTTGAATCTCGATATTGAACCGTTTGAAAACATTTGAAAAAACATTCAGTAAACATTTGGTAAATCTCCATCTCCAGAATCTCCAATAAAACCTATCCTACAATGCCACGTCATTTTATCCTGAAAACACTTCCTCAAAAATTTTATCTCAGTAAAAATGATTCTAAAAATAAAATCTTAGGCATTCAATCTCATTTCATATTCTACAAAAAAAATTAATGAGGATATGAAATAACGTAAAAAATCCAATTTGTAATATTTATGAAGTCTGTACTTGACGGATGGGGAGTTATCATTGTAAAAAATATAAAGACAACAAAAAAAAATCGGCAGAGAACAAATATAAAAAATGAGGTACAAATTCCTCATTTAAGGCCCGAATGGACTATCTTTCGAACGTTATCTCGATTATTTTTCTATCCTCATAATGTAAAATACATCACAATTCCCATTGGATTTGACATCACGCAGTAGTCCCTAAAAAAATTAAAAATAATTAGTTTGTCCCTAATTCTTCAAGTTATGGGGCAAATTGAATTCATAACCAGGACTTCCTAGTGGAAATTCCCTCGAGCTCCCAATGACTCACTTATTTATATATTTCTCCAATTTTTTTTTTAGATATTGATTTAAAAGTGGCAGCTAAATTCTTCGGTAGTAAATTCGCCTGTGGCTCAAGCGTAACAGGAGAGGATGAAATTGTAATTCAGGGAGACGTCAAGGACGACTTGTTCGATGTAATTCCAGAGAAATGGCCACAGGTAATTAACCGATTGATGAAAAAATCGAAAAAAATAAGATAAAATACATGAAGGAATGAAGGATTGAAAAAGTCACCTCATAAAAATTAATTTTCCATTTTTTATTTTAATGGTAAAAAATGACTGTGCGGATATAACGGTTTTGCTCGTTTTTTTTTTCAGATCGACGAGGACTCGATAGACGACCTCGGGGATCAGAAGAGATAATTAATCGATTAGCTGAACTACTCGCACAATATTTATGGTGAAATTCCCTCGATGTAATGGAATATAATTTTTTTCTCTCGTAATAAGATGTAAATAAATTGAATCGTCTACTCTGCCTCCCCTGGTTCTTCCTCCACCTCCTCGGGCTCGTCTAGGTGGGTTGAGATCACCTGGAGGAGGGACTCTATTTGCTCCTCCGATAGACGATCTTCACTTTCTTCTATAATCTGAAAAAACACGAAATTTTTATGCATTTTTCTCTGCTCTAGAAGAATTTTTTCGTATTTAAAGGAGTATGAATGAACTTTAATTGAGTCATTGAGTTCAACGAGGAAAAATAAATTCAAAAAACCAAAAAGGAAAAAATTCAGTAGCGACGTGGTAAAACGGTCTAAGTCGACTTATCTCTCAGTTGAGTTTTTGAGGAATATTTCCGAATCTAAGGGAGATAGCGAAATTGTTGTCATTACATTTGTTAGAGCACTCAATCGGCTCTACAAAAAAGGTTATAACAAAAATTTTGCCATCTCCCTTAGATTCCGAGATATTCATTGAAAACAGGTCAATAGTCAAAATTGACTTGTACCGTTTCACCACTTCGTTACTGAATTATTCGTCATTGATAATTTTTTATGTGAATTCTAACTTTGATGAGTGTAAGAAATTGATCGATGAAATTCTTTCTTGAATTATTTTTTTAAACAATAGTCTCTCGTTCGACTACGGTGTTTCGACATAAAATGCCTTTGGATTTTAAACTTGACTTTCTTCTAGATTTTAATATTACCTTGCATTTAGAATTTATTTCAGATTTTAATCTTCAAAATTCAAATAATACAAACAAAGTTATATAAACCTCTAAAAAAAAGATTGAAAAATCGCTGGAGATGGTTTGATTATTCCCGTCAAAACTATCATGAACATGAAAAAAAAAACATGGAATGAACAAATGGACATGTTTTTGAACATGGAATTCGAAGTAATCAGGATTTGTCAATTGTTTTTTTGAAGATTTTACCAATTGAATTTCTATGGCAGTTTTGGGGCACAAATTGATGAGCGTCAATTTTTCACACTTGGTTAATTTGAACCCCTCGACGGCCTTCAGAAACTCCTTGATCTTCTCCGGATTCTGCTTCTTGCAGGGGGTGTCCTCCAGGTACCTCACAGTCTGGTACGTTATCGTCGCAAGTTGATTTCTCGACTTGTGCTTTTTATTTCCCTTTATCTGTTTGAGAATTTCGAGAACCTCGAAGTTACTGAGATACGCTGTGTTTTCCTTCAACCTAACAAGAAAATTAGTGAACGAAACTAGTTTTAATAATTAAAAAAATTTCAAACTAGATTTTTCACGTAAGAGGGGATTATCTCAGCGGGAAATGTTGGGAGACACTTCTTGAAGTAAACTTTGCTAAAAAAATAATTTTCTTCATTCCCCAATTCAAAATTTGTAAAAAATGAGTCCAGAGAATCCTTGAAATGAACTAGAAAACTGTTCTACAATCTAAACAACAAACAAAGGGAGAGATAGGGCAAAATGAACCAGTGGAAAAACGACTGTTTGACGCAATTCAAGTAAAAAAAAAAATTTTATCAACAATTTTTTTTTATTATTGGGAGTACTGATGAGAATAACAATTTTTCATTCAATAGAATGCAAAATTATTGAGAAGTTTTGACGGGAGATTTGTCAATGGATTAATTGAAAAGAAAATGAGACAGCAAAATCCAAAGTCCAGAGGAAGGCCCAGGGGGAGACCCAGAGGGGGAAAAAGGAAATTGAGGCTGAATTTCAATGGAATGAAAAAAGAAAAGTGTAATCGCCCTAATCCAAGCAATTGAATTATAGATGAAATATTTAATATTACTTGAAAAGAGAACTGGATAAAATTAGGGAAAATTATTAATATTGTCGTCTCGATATAAGAAATATACGAAAAACCTTCGGGAGTTTCTTGACGAGGTCTTAGTTTGACTTCTGGAGAGTCAGGGGACAGCTGACTAGTGGACGTTGAGATCGAGATCTAACAGGGGAGTGGGATTCATCTGTGGAGGTAGTCGATACGCTATACAGGGCTTTCGAATATCAGTGATTTTTCCGCACCGCATGTTCTTTTCTACCGAATAGAAAATTATTATTTTCATCAGTACTCCCAATAATAAAAAAAGTTGATAAAAAAATTTTTTTTTGCTTGACTTGCCATTTTACCCCACTCTTCTCTAGCTAAACAATCGTCAATCCCCTCAGATAACCTAAAAGGTCTCTGAAAAAAAGCCTAAAAAATACTTACACCTCCATTTTCCCCCAACAATCGATCAGAAATCCAAATAAACCAATTACTCCACTAAGAAAATCATTTAAATAATTTCTCTCATAATTCTTCCAACTAACAACATTTAAAATGTTGACTACAGGTTAGAATCCCCTCGCATGTTTACAAAACTGTTTTTCCGCTTCTCATGAGACGACAAATTTTCGGTGGTTTATTTTCGTTGGTTTGACACTTACCGCGCATTTTCCACCGCCGGCCGGTGTTCGTAAAGGCTCGAGGGGCTCGAGCAACCGAAAAACATCGCAAGCGAATCGAGAATCAAACGCACGTCGTCCTTTTGTGTCTCCACGTCTCAAGCATTTCCCAGGTTTTTTTTTATTGTCAATTTTTTGGGAAACGTTGAAAAATGGGCGATCATCTCCCATTTCTCGCGGAATATGCGAAAAGTGGAAGGGCTTCCTGCAAAGCGTGCAAAACATCCATTCCCAAGGAGGCGTTGAGAATCGCCAAAGTCGTGCAGGTAACCACAATTTCATTCCTTTATCTTCATTGAAAAAAATTCCAGATTCATTTTTCTTGTATTTTTCGATTTTTTTTTGGGATTGGGACATTGTGCAAAGGTTTGTCTAGGGTTTGGATATATCTTTTTATTTTTTGGAGGGCCTCGGAGGTTATTAGATGGGGAAAATGGTTGGGGCAAGTGGGGGGTGGGAACAAAGAAAGACGAGAGCTGCGACGCGAGAAAAATCGTAGATACGATAGCTGGGATTTTTCTTTGTCGTCGGAAAATGGGGATTCAGATTTTTTCACGAGAAAATCTCTGGATTTTTTTTGGGCCGCGGGATTTTTTTCTCGGACGAATACGTTGAGCGCACGTATGAGAAAAAAATTATAGAAAATGGATATTATAAAAATATCTAGGGGAGGGTAGGGTAAAGTGGACACTTTACTTTTTTTAAAAATATTCATGACGTGTTGAATTGTTCATGAAATGGAATAGTTTTATTTTTAAATTAAAAAACAATTATTCCTCTTTGTGATGAGCTTAGACTGAGCTCAATTGATAAATCTGTTACTGAGTTATGAATATTTTTAAAAAGTCAAAAGTGTCCATTTTACCCCACCTTCCCTTAAATTATATAATATATAAATTATATAGATATGTGATATGTCAATTGTAGATAACACGCTGGAGAATTCTATTTTTCCATTGTGTTTTTGTTGAACTTTCTAGTAGTTTTTGGCCTATTCTGTTGGAAAATTTCGCAGCTTATCTGCGTGTTTTCTTTCTCAATGGAATTGTTCAGTGGAAAATATTCTATAGAAAAAATCAGTGGAATTCGATTTGAGTATAGACCTGATTTTATTGAGATATTTTCTATGGAAATTCTTCGACCCAAATTTTTCAAGTTTTTTTTTTGATTTTTTAATTAAAAGAAAAACAATAGAGTAGAAAAAAAATTTGAAAATTTATGTTGAAGATTTTCTGTAGATAATGTCTGAACAGAAAAAGTTGTAGGTATAGAAAGATGAAATTCTATTAATTTCACTTTTAAAATAGTTTTTATTGGAAATTTTCTGTTAAAAAAACGCAGTAAAATTATGAAATTCTTCAATAGAATGGGCCGAAAATTAATAGAATTTTCAGTAGAAATCCAATAAATTTTGGTTTTGGCCAGCTTATCTGGGCGTTTTTTAAATAGAAATGTTCGATTTTTCTTTACAATTCATTCGATTGAGATTTTTTCTATGGAATTTCCTCGGTTCAAATTTTCTTAGTTTTTTTGTTTGATTTTTTAAGTCAAAACAGAAGCTACCGAGATTGAAAAAAATGTGGAAACATTATGTGGAGAATTTCTATAGTAAATGTTTCAATAAAAAAAAAGTAGAAGAAGCTGAAATTCTACTAATTTCACTTCTGAAATACTTCAATTGGACATTTTCTATGGAAATGCAGAAGAGAATAACAAACAAATTATTCAACAAATCGAAATTTAACTTCTGCCATTCGATAGAAGGATCATTGAAGTATTTTCAGTAAAAATTTCAAAATTTTTAGGGGAAATTTTGTCGATAAACGAGATGATTTAATATGATCGAATCGGTTGGATGTAAAATTTGTCATCTACAACTTTTGTTCATAGAAAAATATATTATAAATGCATTGAAAGGGGTTAAAACAGAGTTAAATGAAAATATGAATGTAGAAAAAATCTTATATAATTGACGTTATCTAATAAGGAGAGGAGGAGGCCTACATAGGTGTAAAACAAAGGAAACGTTTGTAACACCAAAGAGATGAATAAAAAAAAATAGTTTCTATTGACCATTTTCTGTTAAAAAACGCATAGTTGGCTGTCGAATTCTTTAATAGAATCGCCCCAAAACTACTAGAAACTTCAACAGAAATGAATCAATGAATGAATCAAACAACTCACCGAAAAAAATTCCAAAACTTGATTGTGTCCGCAGAGTGCCTTCCACGACGGTGTCCAGCCGAACTGGTACCACGAGCGTTGTTTTTGGTCAAAAGCAAAGGTAAAAACCGCCGGAGACATCGCGAACCTCGAGAACCTCCGCTGGGAGGACCAAGAGAAGATTCGCAGTCGCATCGACTCCGCAGACACCCCAGATGCCTCATCAAGCGGCTCCAGCAAGTCCCGCAAGCGCCCCAGCTCAAAGGCAAATTCCGACTTCTCCGTGGAATACGCCAAGTCCAATCGTTCCATCTGCATCGGCTGTGAGGCTCCGATCCTCAAAGGTGAGGTCCGCATCTCCAAGATGGACTTCGAGAGCGAGACGGGTCAGAGGCTGGATGGAGTGGCCCGCTGGCACCACGTGGACTGCTTCGTCAACCTCCGCTCGGCCCTAGAGTTCTACAACTCTGGAGACGCCCTCCCAGGCTTCAAGGCCCTCAGCAAGGACGACCAGAAGAGTCTCAAGTCCAAAATTCCGAAGATGAAAGCTGCCGACATTCCCCCACCCCCGAAGAAGATGAAGGCCGAGCCAGTGGACGCCGAAGAGACTGCACAAATGAAGAAGCAGAACGAAGCGCTCTTTAAACTTCGTGAGAAGCTGCAAACTCTGACGAAAAATGAACAGGTGTGTCATATTTCATGTCGAGGACATGGTTCAAGAGAAGAGTAATCCTAAGAGCCAATGAATTGGTAAAAAATACAAATATAGATACATCAATGATTATGAGAAAAATAATTTGAATTGATAAGAAACTAGGGGATGATTAATTTAAAAATCGAGGGGGATTCGTGGAAAATTGGGTTATTAATGAGACAATTTGGTATTCGAGTTGTTTGTTCTAGAGAAAATTTAAAGAACAATTTTGAAAGGTGATTGATCAATTCTAAGAATTAAATAGGTGATAACCAGTGTCTGCCAGACTGATCAATTTTTTTTATAAAGAAAAAATTATAGATGTTGATTTTTTTAAATTATTTGTTCTGTTGGGACTTTTGCTATAAGAATTTTTGAGCATAAATTTTCTAAAAAAATTGGGTGGTGTCAGATGGTATGGTCTTTTACCTACCCGTCCCAGTACCTACGCGGTACCCCAGCCTAATTCCCTACCCGCACTTGCCTCTAAGCTAACTTATATCTAACTCCACATAACTAACTCCACATGCACTGGGTTCGTTTTCCGGCGATGAAAAAATCTTTCATCACCGGGACTCGAACCTGCGCTACTGGGACGTCTGCATAAATTTTCTAATTTTTTTTCTTGGGTTTTGTGTTTTCTAAAAATTGCTGTTTTTTATATTGTAAAAAAACTGCGGAAAACCTTGAAATATAATGCCAAAGAATTTTTATCGAGAAATCAAATTTTATTAACTGTTTCCTATCAAATGTATCTCTTGAAATGACACTGTAAAGTTGGAAAGCATCAATTGTTTTATCATTTCAATCTTGTATTGAAAGGAGTCGTTACGATACCAAGGGTAATGCCCACGAGGAGCTTTGAACCCACAACCTTCAGATTACCAACTCGCTACTCCAACCAGCCATCGGGGGTTCAGGAAATCATGAATAATTCCATAAATGATGATAATTTAGTTTATCAAGAATGGATGAGAAAAAAGTCTGTAGATGTTCATTTTATTTCGTCTCACTCCAACAACCCACGACTTTGAAAACTCATAGTAGTCTCCCCTTAAACTGTTTTACCCCTCCACTACTGAATTGTTTTCTAACAAATAAATCTCTTAAAAAACGTCACGATAGTCACCGCTAATTTCCCACACGATTCTAATTAGAACGACGAATGTCCCAACAGGTGGAACTGATGGAGCACAACCACCAGCACGTCTCCCACGACAACGCGCAATTACTGAACGCCCTGGCCGACCAGATGACCTTCGGTGCCCTTAAGCACTGCAAAAAGTGTTCAGGCGGCCTGCAATTCGTCTCCGGAGTAGGCTACAAGTGCATGGGTGACCTGACCGAGTGGACAAAATGCGAGGAAGTGACGCAGGACCCCGAGCGAACTAAATTCAAGATACCAAAGCACCTAAAAGAGGACATCCCCTTCCTGGCCGACTTCAAGTCGAGGGTTGAGCGTCGTATCCTGCGGATAACAGCCCCATCGACGTCCCGAGTTGTCAAGAAAGAGGAGGAGTCATCAGGGCCAGCGGTGAATCGTGGCCCGATGCCCCTGCGAGGAATGCAGATCTTCATTGCTGGCAAGACCAGCAAAGACAAAGAGGAACTCAGGAAGGACATTATGAGGCTGGGGGGACTGGTGGTGTCCAGAGTCCACGAGAACCTGGCAGTTGTCATTGCTGACGAGAAAACCCTCAAGAAAGGGGGCAAAACATTCGACAATGCCCAGGTCTACGACATCCAAGTTGTCCCCGAGGACTTTGTCGACGAGGCAAAGGACTTCAAGGACACCCCAGTCTCCCTCATAACTAAGAAGAACATTGCCCCTTGGGGAGGCGATCCAACCACGAGAATCGCCGTCACCATGCAGAAATCGTCGTCTAAGGGGAAGAGTATGTACGAGAAGAGGTCCTCAGGAAAAGTTAAGCTCAAGGTCAAGGGAGGTGGGGCTGTCGATCCTGCCAGTGGACTCGAGGACATCGCTGGGATCTACCAGGCTGGGAAGGACAAGTACACGGTAACGCTGGGCTTGACTGACATTCAATCAGGGAAAAATAGCTACTACAAACTGCAGATACTTAAGCACGACAAGAAGGAGAGGTACTGGCTGTTCAGGAGCTGGGGGAGGATTGGCACGACCATCGGTGGTGACAAGTGTGAGGAGCTGTCCCTGGAGGACGCCGTGCAGAGGTTCAAGGAGCTGTACCTGGAGAAAACTAAGAATGAGTGGGCGGCACGTGACTTTTTTGTTAAATACCCTGGGAAAATGTACCCGATTGACGTTGATGAGTGCGACGAGTCGTCGAATGTCGAGAGCCTCGAGTCGGAAATCAAGAGTAGTCTCAAGAAACCGGTGCAAGACCTGGTGAAGCTCATTTTCGATGTCAATTTAATGAAGAAAGTTATGAAGGAGTATGAATTGGACACTGATAAGATGCCACTTGGTAAACTTTCGAAGAAGCAGCTCCAGAAGGCTTATGGGGTGCTGAAGGAGGTGCAGGAGCTGCTGGCTAAGGGCCATCCTGACAGGGTTCTGCTGATCGACGCCTCCAACAGATTCTACACACTCGTGCCACATTCGTTTGGTGTCGGTGAGCCAACGGTTTTGGATAATGAGATATTGATTCAGTCCAAGTGTCAGATGCTTGATTCCCTCATTGAGATGGAGATTGCGTACAAGTTGCTCAATGTCAAGTCTGAGAGTGGCAAGAGCCCACTTGATGCGCATTACGAACAGCTGAATACTGACATTGATGTGCTGGATAAAGAGAGCAAGGAGTTCATGGTCATTCAGGAGTACGTGAAGAATACACATGCTGCCACACATACCATGTACGATCTGGAGATTGAGGATGTGTTTGTGGTGAAGAGACAGGGGGAGGAGAAGAAGTTCAAGCCATTCAGGAAATTACCGAACAGGAAGCTACTCTGGCACGGATCGAGGACAACGAATTACGCTGGTATTCTCTCCCAGGGGCTGAGAATTGCACCTCCAGAGGCACCAGTCACTGGGTACATGTTTGGTAAGGGTATTTACTTTGCTGATATGGTGTCCAAGTCGGCGAATTACTGCTGCACGAATAGTCAGAGCCCCACTGGGCTTCTGCTGCTGTGTGAGGTGGCACTGGGAAATATGTATGAGAGATTGCAAGCTGATTATATCGAGAAATTGCCCAAGGGCATGCACTCGACTTTCGGCAGGGGACAGACTCAGCCGGATCCGACCAAGGTGCATGTCACTGAGGATGGGGTGGAGGTGCCTTATGGACCTGGGGTACCTGCTAAGCTCAATGGACAGAGCTCTCTACTCTATAATGAGTATATTGTTTATGACGTTGGGCAGGTCAAGGCTAAATACCTCGTTCGTATGAACTTCAAGTACAAAATGTAATTCTGTTTTTTTTTGTTAGCATTGAAGTTTGGGTGGAGGGAGTTTTTTTTAGATATTAAAGGGCAAGATCTTTTTTTGTACGAAGCAAATTCTAAGTGTCAAGTACCCAAACTTCACTTTTTCATTTTTTTTACTTTTTCATTCATTCCATTGAATTTTTGTATCTGTTTGTGTTTTGGTCATAAATTATTTTTGTAGTTGAGTGGCGTCGATATTATATACCAATCAAATATTAGAAGTACATGTATCAATGATGAAACTGTTGAAGGGTGATTTATAATGGATCAAGATCAATAAACACAATATTTCCTAAATAAGAGGCCTTTTATTGTTTACAAAAGAAAATTCATCACTCAATTCTTTTCAACTTTAATCGATTAATTAAATATTGTAAATACAATATTTAGAGACCATTATTTATGAAATATAAACACAATATTTCATAAATGAAATGCATTTCTCAATTATTTTCTTTTCATCGCGATTCATCCAACATAAATTTGATCAATGAATTAAATATTGAATAATCATTTTTTAATTGAGAGACAATCATCAACAAGAAAAGATTGTCCGCAGGTAAGTCACTCATCTGATGGATTTACTAACTGTTGAAAAAGCTGCAAAAAACTGAATGAATAACTTGCAATATTTTTTCTCCATTCACTTCTCTCTTCCCAAAATATTCTGTGATGGATACAAAATACACGTAATTTACAAAAGTATGGGAAGACTTCCATTTTACTAACAAATGATAGTTACAATTAATTATACAATTATGTAATCTTAGCTGAACCTCAGCTGAATTTGCGAGGAATATTTCCGAATCTACGAAAGGCGATTTTCCATTTCAATTTTTCGCTTGAGATTTTTCCTATGAGAATGCTTGAGCATCAATTTGTTTTTTCTACGTTTTTTCACTTGGATTCTGTGGTGCAAAATAAAACAAAACCCAGCGGAAAAAACTTAGAAAATTTGTGCCCAATAATTTTAGTAGAAAAAATCTCAAGAGAAAACTTTGAACAGAAATATATTGACTTTTTCCAATAAAAAAATATGCAATAAAATGAGCGCCAAAAACAAGTAGAATTTTTCAATGGAATTTCAATGGAAATCCTATAGAAACCCCATAGAATTCCTATAGAATTTTCTAGCGAATTTGCTAGGTTTTTTATTGAATTTTTTTATGCGTGTTTTGACGAGGTTTTTTTATCAATTATTTTTAAAACGGACCCGAACCCTTTTACTCCTTTAATTGTCTCCTAACTTTCAGATTAAGAGTTCTAGGAGTGGTGGAGTCTCGTTGATTTCATAAATCGAAACACTAGTGCAATTAATGTCCAGGGTCAAGCAAACTCCATTGGTCCTGTTCTTCGTTGCCTCAGTGGCAGCAATGACAGTCTCATTGGTGATGTAGGTACCACCGAGATAGAGAGCGCGCAGGGTCTGCGTTCTCCTGAGTAATTGAATTACTCCCTGGTCGTCGATTCCACAGCCAGTCAAGCTCAGCACTTCAAGTTGAGTCAGACTGGACAGATATCTGCCCGTCAGGTTCAGGCAGCCTGTGATCCTCAGTTCCTTGAGCTTCTTGAGCTGCGCAAGGCCCATGAAACTGACGTCAGGCACGTCCGATAGGTCTGACAAATGATGCGAGGCTGTGGATAAAAAAGACAAGTCATTTTGATGAATCACAAAAAACGAAAGACATTTCATCGAAAAATCTAGCTCATCCGCTGGAGAATTCTATCGGTCTTCTACAGAAAGTTCTAGCAGTTTTTCGAGAATTCCGGGGGAATTTTTTCTACAGAAATTTTTCGAAGTAGATTTTCCAAGTTCTTTTCGCTCCATTTTTCTTACTATTTTTTATGTTTCTCTCGTGAAGACAATCAAACGGAAAACTTGGGAAAATTAGAGCGAGGAATAGATTGTATAGAAAAATTAAATTCTATTGATTTTTTATGTAAAATATGTTAAATTGGACATTTGATTGATTTTAGCCAAAGTTATTGAAGAATTTTGCCCTTCTCTGTGTTTTTTATATAGAAAATGTTCAATAGAAAATATATCATCGTAGAGCCAAAGGGGCATAAGTGGTGCATATAAACAAAGCTTTTACGCTCCTTTGGCTATATGACGACAATATTATGAACAAATCAATAGAATTTACTCTGACTATACAATACAGTCTATAGAAATTATTCTATAGATTTTTTTACCTAATTTTTCTCGTCTCTTATGGAAAAATCAAACAGATAAATTGGGAAAATTAGACCGAGGAATTTCCTATAGACAATACAATGTCTTAATAAATAGATAAGATTCTATAGCAAAATAAAATTCTAATACCAAAATAAATTCGCTAATGCTATACGACGAAGATATTATAAACTAGTTAATAGAATTTTCTCTGTCTATACAAAATATTCTATAGAAATAACTTCTATAGACATTTTTTTCACTCAATTCTTCTCACCTCTCGTGACAAAATCCGAATAACTCGAGAAAATTACGCAGAGGAATTTCCTATAGAAAATTCAGTATCTTAATAGATAAGATTCTATAGAAAATCGCAATTCTATTGATTTTGCCCATAAAATATTTTCTATCGAGCATTTCTAATCAACGAAAAAAGCGCAGAAATGCCGCATAAATTTTCGACAGAATCGTTGAAAAAACGATAAGATTTTCAGTGGAAATCTGGCAAAAATAAAATTTTCTATAGAAATTTGTAGAGTTGAGGGAACTTACCTCCAAGTGAGAGTGACTCCAAGTGGTGCAACTCTCCCGCCAACATCCTAATAAAATCATTCTCCAGAGGCAGTTGCAGTTGAACGCAAAGACCTTTGTGCACTGTCGTCGCTGAGACAATGCTCAGTTTTCGCAGATTCTTGAGATTTAAAATCGGTGTCCATATATTGAGATTCAAGACGGAGTGGATGTTCCATTCTAGTGTTAACTCTTCCAACTGAATATTCTGACCGATTAAACGCATGAACTCTTCGTCGATGAAATGTGACGTGAGTTTTTTCAAGGCAAAACTTGCGAGGAGGACCTTCTTGTGGCTCTTGAGGGGTCCTGAGGACAGAATGTGATGCCTGGGGGAGACACTCAGGAATTTCGTGGCTATGTAGTCCAGGGGGATGTGGGAAAAAGCCACATCTGCGTCTGGAAATTGAGTGAATTAATTCAGTCGTTCATTCTCGAATGAAAAAAATTTAAAAAATTCATCAGAAAAACCCAGCGAATTCGCTAGACAATTCTATTGGATTTCTATTGAAGTTTCTATTCGTTTTTGGCCGATTCTACAGAAAAGGTTAGTAGAGTTGGATTTTCCTAGAGAAGAACTTTTTCTATTGACATGTTTTCTAGAAAATTTCCTCGGTTCAAGTTTTCCAAGTTTTTTTGTTTGATTTTCATTATTTGTGCGTAAAGTGAAATTTCACGCACGTCGCGATGAAAAATAAGTTGGATACTGATGGAAAGAGTGTTCTTCAACCCTTAAGAGGAACACTTAGGAAGGAAGAGACACGCATGGAAAAATTCAGTAGAAAACCTGCACTGAGAGAAAAACAAATGCGTTGTTAAACAAGTCTTGTTTGGGCCAACAAAATCGCTCGGTGAAAATTGCCAATGAAGAATTTGTTTGGTTCGAATTTGAAAGTCTCAAACATGAATAATTGTTCTGCTTTCGACAGCAACGAAATATTTGGCTCAAGAGGCGGATAATTCACACCAGACGGTGCCTTTTCAGGATGAAAATATCTCATATAGAGGAAAATTTATCAACAAATATTTTATCCCTAAGTTACAAGATTGCTATCATATCATTATTATTGTTTCAGTTAAGGGTTCATTTGTTGTCTGTGATTATTAGACAGCCGAAATGAAAAACTGCTATCCCTTGTGTCGCATAAAACAAAGAATTTTCGGGAGCAAAATACGTATGGGAAAATATCGAATAACGAAGGAGTAGTGCTAAAAATGACATTTCTTGAGAATGCAATTTTTTTTGAACTACTAAATCTATTTTTGCGACAAAAATTTTTCATTCCAGCGCATTCTCTGTATGTTTGGCACGAAAAATCCTTTTTTGATAATTTTCAAAAAACTATTTTCTTGGCACAAGTAAGACTTGTTTAAGAACTTCGTCATTTTTCTCTCAGTGGAGTGAATTCGCTAAAAATTTCTGTTGGAATTATTTAGAAATTCCATGGGGGTTTCTGTAGGATTTCCATTGGAATTCTATTGACAAATTCTCCTTGTTTTTTTCGCTGATTGCATTGCCTGTTTGATAGGNTTTTTATTGAATTTTGCTTCGCTCCCAGATTACGTTTCGAGACGTAATTTTTACGTCTTTTTCCGGTAATTTTTATTGAATATTTCTCTCCGTGTAGAATTATTGGGCACAAATTTTCCAAGTTTTTTCCGCTGGATTTTGTTTTGTTTTGCATTGCAGAAACCGAGTGAAAAAAACTTAGAAAATTGATGNGTCTGTGATTATTAGACAGCCGAAATGAAAAACTGCTATCCCTTGTGTCGCATAAAACAAAGAATTTTCGGGAGCAAAATACGTATGGGAAAATATCGAATAACGAAGGAGTAGTGCTAAAAATGACATTTCTTGAGAATGCAATTTTTTTTGAACTACTAAATCTATTTTTGCGACAAAAATTTTTCATTCCAGCGCATTCTCTGTATGTTTGGCACGAAAAATCCTTTTTTGATAATTTTCAAAAAACTATTTTCTTGGCACAAGTAAGACTTGTTTAAGAACTTCGTCATTTTTCTCTCAGTGGAGTGAATTCGCTAAAAATTTCTGTTGGAATTATTTAGAAATTCCATGGGGGTTTCTGTAGGATTTCCATTGGAATTCTATTGACAAATTCTCCTTGTTTTTTTCGCTGATTGCATTGCCTGTTTGATAGGAAAAAATCAATATATTTTGAATTTCTGTTCAAATTTGTCTCTCGAGATTTTTTCCGGTACACGGAGAGAAATATTCAAGAAAAATTACGGAACATTTCACGTAATCCGCAAGCGAGAATCGTTTTCAGTGAATTTCTATAGGAATATAAGAGAATAAATCTGAAACGTTTAGTAAATTTTCGGGTCTGTCACCGAAACAATACGGAAAAGTCACGTAATTTTTCTGGAAGTTGTAAAATCTAACAGAAACTTCAAGACTTATTATGCCTCAGAACATGAAAATTCTTGGATGTTTAAGAATTTTTACGAAAAGTTCCGGAAAAATTACGTAACGTGTTGTTAAAATCTCCCCCGCACAGTGACTCATGGCTAGCCATGAGGCGTCGGA